CACACACAACAACACACACACCACACACACACACACACACACACACACACACACACCACAACACACACACACATCTGCCGGCACGAGACCGTCAACCCCCCCTACCCACGACTGGACGAGGGAGCGTCGTAGGACGTCGTCATGCTGGAACTGCCTGCCAGACCCGCGACGAAGGAGGCTACGGTGGCGCGCGATGCTACGATTGTGTGTGGACGACCGACGTTCGAGATACACCGTCCATGTGTGTAGGGTGACACGAAACAAAATAATTCCAGGGGATAATAAGACAAAAAGTAGTTAGTCCAGTTTCTATATATGTCTCGGACAGAGACTAACCGACTTTGTGGTTTGTCTGAGGGTAATGTCTAATGGGTATTAGGGGAGACAAAGTCGGACAAAGGTTTCACGCTAGAGAACAAGCGACACTGAAATCTACTTTTTATTCCTCAGGGAGGGGTGCGGGGAGACTCCTGTAAACCAATTTTTATTGAGTTACCCACGAGATCCTCCTCTAAGTCCACTATTCCCCCCCCCCCCCATGGAACCAACCAACTAACCGATTACCAATGTGCTCGGTCTTTTTGTAGCAATACTGTAGTATTTCACCGGTTTGTAGCTATCGGAGTAAAAGTCTGTTTCCAAGAAATTATCTTTACCCTAGTCCCTGTTTTCTCTCTTAGAGACAAGGACTTTGAAGGTCTCAGAGAAAGAGTGTCTCCCCTGTGTACAACTACATCGCGGGTTCTATGTATTTCTTCTCCAACTGTGTACAACTACATCTTCTCTGTACTTCTTCTCCCACTGTGTACAACTACATCTTTCTGTACCTTCTTCTCCCCTGTGGTACACTACATCTTCTCTGTACTTCTTCTCCCCTGTGCTACCACTACATCTTCTCCTGCACCTTCTTCTCCCCTGTGTACAACTACATCTGTTGTCTCTGGCACTTCTCTCCCCTGTGTATCCACTCACATCTCTCTGTACTTCTTCTCCCCCTGGTAAACAACTACATCTTCTCTGTACTTCTTTCTCCTGTGTACAACCCACATCTTCTCTGTACTTCTTTCTCCCTGTGTACAACCACCATCTTCTCTGTACCTCTTCTCCCCCTGTGTACAACTACACTTCTCTGTACTTCTTCTCCCTTGTCAACCACATCTTCTCTGTACTGTCTTCACCTAGAAACGTATTATCCACCTGGAAATTTGTTATACCCGACAAACTAGTAATTGTTCATAAAGGAGTTCTTACTGTCCCCCCATAAGTAAAATGAAAAATAAAGAATGTTAGAAAAGTCCGCGGCGGTCACATCGCTGGTCAACTTCCGGAACGCTCCACAAACCTGCGTCTCTGCGGCGAGAACCTAGCAATCGGGTCCGTACGGAACATTTGCAAGTATACCCCGCAACCGATACCTACATTTGCCCTCCAACACATACGAGCCTCTGAGCCGTTCCCTCCCTGTGGTCTCGAGTTTCAAGTGGGTTCTTGCAGTGAGAAACTGTGGTTGGTTCCATTGCTTCCTGTTCAGAGAAATAGCACACAGTAAACGTAGTTATCGTCTTTTCACAATCTTCATGAGTCCTAGAACATGAACTCATTTTCTCTTCATGAGTCCAGAACATGAACTCATTTCATCTTCATGAGTCTAGAACATGGGAACTCCATTTTCACATCTTCATGAGTCTAGAACTGAAATCATTTGTCATCTTCATAGTCCAGACCTGACCTCATTTTCATCTTCATGAGTCTCGAGAACATGAACTCATTTTTCACTTCATGAGTCTAGAACATGAACTCCATTTTCAATCTTCATGAAGTCCAGAACATGAACTATTTTATCTTATGAGTCTAGAACATGAACTCATTTTCCAATCTTCATGAGTCTGAGCAAACATGACTCATTTTTCCAAATCCTTCATGAGTCAGATACATGAACTCATTCCAACATTTCGCCTCAGAACATGAACTCATTTTCATTCTTTCATGGTCTCACCTCTTATGAGACAATGGTCATTTTCAGGACGTAAGTTTTACAAGGAGTTCATTTTCATCTTTTCATAAAGTAGTTTTAGATCACTTTCATCGCTGTCATTTTCACAGTAACACGTCTAACCAGGTAAAGTCTTATTCATCTATACTATACAAAATATTACATAACTAGTACTTTCACAGAGTTTCGACCATTTCCGTCCCGTCGATCCAGACTTACTAAAGCAGTATGACGTCCATCGAACACCTACAATCGAGGTCCACTTGGATTTCGGACTAAATTTGGTGGAGAGAGATATAAAGGTATATAAGGGAAAATGAAGTAACCTGACTCGGGTCCGCTGTCTAACTTCCGCCGCCGATGCCTGCTTTTGGAGGCATATGTAAGAGATACCCGGGAAATTCTGAGACCAAACTAGGACCAGAAAAGTCTAAATGTCACGTTAGGTAACCCAATAAACGAGTGACTCGTGAAAGGAAGCTGCGAAATTACTGGAGTGCCACTCATCTAGACGTTGATAGACGTAAAATGTTGTTCTTCTTGACAGTAAACAAGAGTCATTAAACGTATTCGACTGGAAAGAATGTTAACAAAGCTAGCCGGTACAACGTACGACACAATTAAAAGAAAAGGTGTGAAGGATACGAGAACACCACGTAAAGTGACAAACGCGTGAACGGGCGTCCGCGGTTGTCTGGCGATTGTCCGCGCACAACTGGACTAACGTACACACACACACACACACACACACACAACAACACACACCACGACACACACACAACAACACACCA